CGCTTTTCGAACTGTTTATAATCATATTTTTTTAATCTTGATTTCGATTCTAGATGAAATGAAGGCCTTTGTAAAGCCTATACATGTACAATATAAGAAAACACCGTAAAGAAATGATAAAATACTATATCAAATACTGTAAATTAATGTTTTGTGTTTTTTACTTAGTTTGTAAGGATGAATGCTTATGAGGATTTTCTGGATTTAAGTATWGGGACTTTAAGGGACTATTTAAACTTTAAAAGAGGTCTTCAAGTGACAGGTCGAAAGGTGGAATTAGTTGCTAGAGCTTTTTCAGCATGTGAGATGAATTTGCCAATCAAGTTAACTCATGAGCAACACAACAACAAGTTAAAGGCAGAGTACAATCCCTTACAATAAATTTTTCAGTTGCTCTGCCACTATAGCATGGTGATACATAAGATGGGGCACCATTTGGTGTTATAGCAACCAGGAAYTTTATTGTACAATGATGCTTGTACTCCGACCAAAGAGCTGCCTGGATGTCTAAMGCACTTGGGGTTTCAGTAAAAACTTCTGAGCAATCAATGACACAACGTACTTTACGGTAAAGCCTTCTAAAAGAGTCTGGTAATTCAAGCATTACCTGGCCTTTACTTGGCCACATAATCAACCAGTCTAACTCCTTTGCTAAAAATCTCAACCACGTCGAGACTGTTTCTGATATAAGTGACTGGGAAACTTTAAACCTAAATGCAAGATTATCTTCTAGAAGGCCAAGTCTCAATTTCATAAGTGTCATTAGAAATTCCTGTTCAAGGGTAAGCTTTCTAGGTGGGCCCTCTTTTCATAGAGGGTGGTTCAATACCCTTCTCCTTAAAGGCTTTGAATTGTGCAGATAAACGTTCTGTATTACTCTGTTTGAGAGATTCTTTAAAAACTTGTGTAATTCATATTTTTTGCTTTTGGCCTAAGATAATTGAGCAGATATTGGAAAATCTCTCCATTAGGTAGTCCTGTATATACCTTAACCATTCCCTCCCTAGATACTTCCTCAAAAACAAGATCTGGCCTGGTAACTTGCTCCCAATCTGAATCATCTGACTGTGAAGTATCAGGTTCAGTATTGCAATCAATATCCATGTTATCATGATCATCTTTGTTATCATTGTTATCATAATCATCATTACAATCATCATCATTGTTATCATCATTAATTGAATTGTTAAGTAGTGACTTTGATGTGTAAACTTTCTGTAAAAGCCGCCTTTTCTTTGGAGATTTGTCAAAGGTATTTTGTAACACAGAAAGAAATTTTGTGGGATTTGGATTTATTTTTGTAAGGCTCGCCATCAATGAAATGATTTGCACAGACAAATGTTCGATTGCCTGGTGAGAAAAGTCCGCTTAATCCTGGAGAAATTGCTTCAATCCATATTTGGCGTTTGTCCTTAGCTTTTGTAAAGTTAAAAAAGCGCATAACCTTCACATGGGATCGAATTACATATTTTTCTGGATAGCGATCGTCATTATTGCAGCCACCAACGCAGCGAGCTTGTTTGAGCTTATAAACTGCCGACATTTAAATACCTGAAATAAGAAAAAGATCTCTTAAAACACTTCACTCAATTGTAAATATCTTTCATGTGGAATTTGCCCAAATCCTGGTTGGATACATCTCGTAGTGTTTGTTTTGATTTGCACGCATCGCCACGTGGTAAATTTGCATACGTCAGCTTCAGAAATTCACATAAAATCGGGGGTAATATTGTTCTCAACCGGTTCAAATTTGGTAATAAACGTGACAATTCACTTAATTGGCTAAAAATCTCAGGTCCAACGGTTAAGATTTAAGTGAAAAAACAAGGAAATTATAACACCGCCTCGTGAATCCTCCGTCAAAATTACAAAGAATGTATKGCCACGCCTCCGAACTTCATGCCTATTGAACAAAATGGCGTCGAAAACCGTGACAAGGCCTATTAATTCTTACAGAAAGAGTTGTGATTCCATCGCGCAATTTGATTGGATGATTCACAATTGTAAGGAGAATTGAAATAATAATCAAAGAAACAAATTTTCGCGTCTATTTTTTCTTGTTTTTTTTAAACAAATGCTATAATATAAAAGCAATCCCGCGTGGTTTATTTCACCAGGAACACACGAAAATGTGTGTTTACATATTTGTTTACTCCGACGAAGGATTAACATCCGATCGAAACGTCAGTAAGTTATTTCCCATACTTTTTTACGGTGTTAAACTTATCTTCTTTACACAACTGTTTCTTTAGAAACACCGACGCAGCTCACACTAGTTTACCGCTAGTTCCCACCATTTTACACGAAAATGTGTCGTTTATTGCTTAGATAATACAACTATTCGACACACATGAATATAGATGCGTGAAGTCATAAAAGAACACCAGAAAAAGTGAAATTACTGTGGCAGCTAATTATCAAACGATCCATTCGAATGTTTCGACTTCACTGAATACTAAAGAACGATTCATACGAAAAGTAGACGTATACGAATTCATGCAGAATACGTCAAATATATCACGCACTTGAAAACCTTTGCATACTCGAAGTCTGGAAGAAGTATGCAATACTTGTATACGTTATGTTTACTTATCGTAAACGCCCGCATACCTTAACGCGAAATATTTTAATCCGAATACTAAAGATTAATTCATACGGAAAGTAGCCGTACGAATTCAGGCAGAATACCATGGGCATACGTCAAATAGATCATGCTACCTGAAAACCTTTGCATACTCAAAGTTTCGAAGAAGTATTCAATACTTSTATACGTTAAGTTTACTYATTGCAAACACTCGCATACTTCAACGTGAAATATTTTGATCCGAACACTAAAGATTGATTTTATACGCAAAATATGCACACGTATTCAAGAAGAATATTATCGGCGTACGTCACGAAGATCACACTACTTGAATACGTTTGAATACTTAAAATTTCGAAGGGGTATTCAATACTTCAATACTAAAGAATATTTGGCTTTTGGCAAACATTTGGCTTTTATAAACATTCCAACGTGCACACTAAGTAAAAACACTTCGTAACGCGAAAAAAATCAAAACATTTTTGTGTCTAGTTTGGGCAACAATTTAATACAAGCTTTTCTGATCGTGTAATGTGTATTAGCATAAATTGATCCTCATTAGCATTTTTTATCCGGTTATGTGAAATCGTTCTTCTGTCCTCTGATATAAATACGGTGTGTAAATTTTAAGGGACTGCGCAATATTTATCAGGAGGGAGGGTTAAGAACCCAGAAAATGGGGGCAGCGTACATCTAATTTTTTTTTTACTTAAAGAGGGGGGGGGGGGGGGGGGGTAACGTCTAAAATTAACTAGAACTTTAATTGGAAACATTCTTTAAAGAAGTTTTAACTTCTTAAAATTTCTCAAACGCATGTTTTTTCTCAGTTAGGTGCCTCCCTGACATTTTTGATGCTGAATTTCATTTCCATACAATCATAGYTCGAGGCTTTGTTATGTAAAAAAGTGTTTCTTCTATGCGTGTCTCTTCTTCGTCCTCCTGCTTCTTATACTTATAACCTTATTTATATCCTACTTACTTCTTATAACTCTAACTCTTCTTCGTTATACCTCTTCGTTATATCCTCAGTGCAGCTCACACCAAGTTATGTTTCAGTCTTCAATCAATTCTGTAACTATTTCCTCGACCGTGAGATAAAGCTAAGCATGTCTTGCTTTCATTAACAAACGTGGACTCGAACATACATCTGTGTGGCTAAAAAAATCATAATATAGATGTAGTGCTTGGTATCAAATCTAAAGAAGATGTCGCCCAAAATAAACTTCGCTTTTTGATTCCCCACAATCTATTACGTAGGTTCTCAGCGTAACCACTACTTCGCTAAGACGATAAAGGGGAAAATTGGACGGCTACGAGGGAATTTAGTGCGAGGCATAATTAAATATCGCCAATAAAGAAAATTATTTGAAATAATGTCTTTCCTTTGATTTCTTGCACTCTAACACTTTCTTGAAAAAAATAATTTCTCAAAATGTTTTTCTCAGCGTAGATACTTGACTTTTTTTTCTCTAGTCCCTCCATTATGGTGAGGATGGTGATTTCATTTCCATAAAATCATAGATCGCGGCTTTGTCATTTAAAATAAGTATACGTTCATGTCGGCTCAATAATTCTGGATTGGTTGCGTAGCAATGCAAAATTAGAAAGAAGATATCCCAACTCAAGAGCTGCATCTGTTCATTGTAAGATGCGTCGTCGGCAACACTGGAACAACATGCAGAAGGAGGCAAATCTTGTTCGCTTTTTGGTGTGTTGTTTTGGATTGATCTTGGTAAACTGTTCTCCTGCCCAACGTAGGAATGACGGTAATATAAGTTGATTGGTAGCTTTTCTCATTTTATTTTCTCAATATTATTGAAAGGAATTTGTCAAAACGAATACCACCAATAGAACATTTTTTGTTTGTTCCTACCTGTCTTTGTATAGTTTGCTCTACTTAGACAGAGATTTTACTGGATCAAAGCAACATTTCAACCGGGAAATGGGTAAAACTTACTTTCTAAAAATGAATTGGCAAAGTCTAATGTCAAGACATTCATACTTTCGTGATAATCTTTGTATGTAAATCAAGATTTTCCAGGGAAGAACGGATAATTTGTGTTTCGTGAGGGGAATTGAACTGGAGCTACAAGTACAAGGAAAAAAGGACTTATGGCGTCTTTGGTGTTTATGGAGAACGGTCTACTCCAAGCTAATGGCTTGACACACCACGGATAAGTCATGGATGAAGATGAAGAGTATCTTCTACCCTACAAAACAAAGTAGTACTAATCTGATTGACGCTTATCCACCCACACATCCCAAGGCTACTGAAGCAACGCTACGGAACTGAAATACGGTCTCGCACTCTCGTCTCAATCAAGCCAGAGACCCCACAAGCACTAGAATCGCTACTTCAAAAGATTCACGCAGCGGATGATGCCAAGGTACTGCGTTCCGCAGTCAACAGCCAGTGAGGGTTCCTCCCTGAATGTGACGAGCGCTACGTTGTGAAAAACCGCTAAATCGTCGAAACTTGTTCCCCATTTCTCCATGTTGAGTACGTGGCTGTCGACTCCCGCACAGTTTCCTTCAAAATTCAAACAAGATAATTTCCATAAATGTAATAATCACTTACAAAATACACCTGTTAGTAAAGAAGGAGGACCAAATGAGCTTTAACATATCACTAAACTACAACGAGCGATCAAGCCAAGTATAGAACATGCAACAAGAAGGCCGACCACGGTCAAGTAGGAAAACGACACTGTACTGCTGACCGTTGATATTGCAGAATGCCCTTTCAACGGATGCGAGAAGATAGCGGTCTCTGGCTAGAGACTTGTTTTTGTCCAAATCACCAACTGTAACTGAGGGAGTTGAGCGTGGTAGGTGTTCCGGCTCTGGAGAGCTCGCTGAAAGGATGGTTCTTCAGGCGATGCTGGTGCTGCAAGGTCAGTAGGTTGTTGGCATTTAGGGGAATCTGCTGGTTGGAGAATTGGTCTCGCTGAAACCTGACGAGTTCGTGTTCCAAGTTGGATGAGGTCATCGCGAAAGGAGGTGTGTCGTCACAGGGCGCCCAGGCTCAACAGTTGTGTTGCTTTCACGGCGGTGTCAAAGTATTGCGTGGTTCGCGGTTCGAGCCCTCATGAAGCCGTAAAGTTTTTCTACTTCATTTCTTGAGACTTTTCAAGACTTTCTCTTTCTTTTCTTTTTTCTTTAATAAGTATAAACAGTTTTATGAATAAAGATTGATTTTTAAATCCATTTTTATATTTCCCCCCCTCGTAAATAAAAATAGACAAGGGAGGTAAGTCAGCGATTGAAATTTGCCAACAACTGGCTCTAAAATACGGCCTCTAAGACACCTTTAACTTAATCCAATGGACATCAAACTCCGTACAGTTTTCGATCAATACCTATTCTCACTTGCCACCAATGTTCAGCCTCCAGTGAAAAATATTTTTCGAGATATTTTAGTCAGAAGTTCAAAATTGTCCAGCCTACCGACGTTACTTTCAACTCGTGCACCAACGGAAATGCCTCGCTCTGGGGTGCCCATAATTCTTTATAACGAGGAAGGACGGATTGAGTTATTCAACTGTAATGTTTGCCTTCTTTGGTGTTTCGAAGACGCCAAGCTCCTCTAGTTCATCGAATCTTATCTGGAGAAGGACGAGTTATTTTCAATGGAGTTATACAGTCATCATAATGGTGTTTTGAGATGGCTGCATGGTAATTGTCATATTGCGCCCAAATTGACAATGTTTTTTAATGGTTTTTGCAGACAATTAGATAGCTCTCCCCTCCAACGTAGCCGGAATGACGGTATAAAGTTGATTGATAGATTTTTTTTATGCCACCACTAGAATACCGATTTTTATCCCAATCAGTCTTGTATAGTGTTTGCTCTAAAAATGAGTTCTTTTCTGAAAAGTAAGGACAGAACGAAGGAAACTGGGAGCAAGTTGGTGAATTAATGTACAAAACCGACATGACAAGTTTCGTTAACTTTATATGAACAAATCCTGAATTGACTGACTTGACTGCGATGAAATGGGAACTTAACCCAATTTTTTACCGCGTTAAATTAAAATTTTTAAACGGAAATGGGTAGCCAGAGGAGGTTGGCCACACCTCCGACAATGATTATTGAGCTTGGACGTCAGAGTGACAACATCTAATATAAGTCTGTACTGTAAATGGACGCTTTATTTCACCAAGGATAGTATTTATTGATTCTATTCTTATTGCTGATGAATTAGTAGACTTAAAAACATTGAATAAAGAAATGTCAATTAACTTTGCAATGAAATTCTCTGGAAAATTTTCGAAACGTTGCCTGATGCGCTTCCGTTACTAAAAGTAACACTCAATCAAATATAAAACAGATACGTTTTGTTTAATTTATTGCACTATAAATCACTCCTCGAAAAATTCGATCCAACCAAATCAAAAACCAAACAATCCAAAATACATTGTACATATTTTTTTGCTTTCATTAGCTCTCAAGACGTGATTTTTAATTGATCGTAGCACGTTATGATGATCTGTTGACCTCAGTTTTAAAGTTTAATAATAATAAATAATAATAAACTTTATTTATGTGTCATAGATTGCTCTAGCTTACAATACTAAGGCTAATTGCGGACACCTATCTAAGCTAGTTATAGTATATAAATATATAAAAAGAAAATATATAATACAATTCATTCCCTCCCTATGAATACCCATACAAATTGTACTAGTAATAGCCGACTTGCGAATTACGCATCAATAGTCACATACAAAGGAATCAAGACGAGGCGCCGTGCTTTTTTGTGAAAAATCTATTGTCTTTAGCACGGCGCCTCGTCTTGATTCCTTTGTATGTGACTATTGATGCGTAATTCGCAAGTCGGCTATTGAATATGAAAAAAAAAGTAGTTAACAAGAATGCAAAAGACAATTTTTACAGTTAGCATTAATCTTGCTATCAATATCTAATGATCTGATTTGTTTTTTAAAGGATTCAAAATTTTCAGCATTACGTAACTTTTTATCTAGTTTTTACCAAATTAGAGGTCCTAAATACCTCAAGCTATGCTTACCATATGTGACGGCATTAAATCTTCGGAAAATTTCTCTTCGTCCATTTTCTTTAAGTTCCTGAATGTGACAACTTTGTTAGGATGATGAACTACGTTGCCTTTCATAATGCTTAAATAGTCATTGCATGATCACTTAGCCCTGGTTCATAAACACAAGTTTCTTTAAATAGTGAGGTTTGCTAGTTAGTACTACATCAAGTAGAGACTGACTGTTCTCCCGTTATTCGTGTAGGCTTTGTAACTAAACACGTAAGTCCATGTATATCCTCAATATCACAGAGAATCTTTCCTTCCCTGAGTTCAGGTTTTAGACTCGGACTAACTATTGCCAAACTTCAGCACATTTTGAAGGCACATAATAAGCAAAAATCTAGCACGGACATTTACCAAGCATTGACGTTAGTGTGCCAGGGTTCTAAAGAGTCGGCACAGGTATTTCTTATTTGCGTCAGCAAGTCTAATTCGCATCAGATATTAATGACAAAACTGTGAAATATGACTCCGGATTAGTCAATGGTTTGTTCCGTCACGTTATTGAAACGGGTCTACAGTCTGAAAAAATCCGTACCAAAATCCGCCCATTATTATTGAAACCAGATGTTAGCGATGAGGAATAAATGGAAAAATCAATATAGCCTCATCAGAGGAGTTTGAGCGTGAGAATAGCGCGAACGCCAGGAGACCCAACAGAGCTAATGTCAATCTAGTTAGCGGCACGGTAGAAAAACACGAGACAAAGAAACCGGATAAGAAAATCCTTTAAACAGCAACCCAGATAACTGCATGGTCTCCAATTCGAATATTTTCTCTTGCTCTATACCACTTATTTCTGGGAAGTAGATTGGGAGCGAAATACTTCATCCAGCAATTCCAAAARTCTTCGATCCTTTTCTGCGTACTTCTCATTAGGTTTCGTGGRTTTACTTTCTCTTCAGGAAGTGGTTGTAGAGGTTCATGGTGCTGTCCTGGAAGAATGTCGTTTGCTGTCATTGGTGGACTTTCACAAATTTCATCTGAACTTGGATATAGTGGACGGCTGTTAACTATATATATGATACTTCTGATAAATAAGTCTCTCCATTGTTCCTCGGTAAATGCTTGATTTTTACAAGTTGCGTTGATTGCATGTCTTACTGACTTTATGAGGCTTTCTACTACTCCATTCATGTGGCTTGCATGTGGAATGTTCCATTTCCATTCAAACTGACATGAGTTATTGGCGAGTTGTTCTTCCATTTCTTGGACGTTCCAATCTTTTGTGACTTCTGACATGTATCCTTGGGCGACTTTAAAGTTTGATCCGCAGTCAGACCAGCATATGAGGGTGTCCTCGAAGACTCGCAAATCTCCAGAATGCCATGAGGAACGCTTCAGAACTTCCATCTGTACATAGTTCTAGGTGAACCGGTCTAGATGTCATGCAAGTAAAAATAGCAATTTGGGCTTCTTTCAGGGTTCTTCTGTTAAGTCTTATTTGTATTGGTCCAAACATGTCAATTGCAGTGTGAGTAAAAACAGGACTGCTTGAACTGACACGAAGCGTTGGAAGTTGACCCATTAGCTGTGTAAGCGGTTTCTGTCTCAGCTTACGGCAGGTTATACATGTTCTGGTAAGTAATTTTGCTTTGTTTCGGAGACAGATTATCCAGAATCGACGTCTGCTTTCGTGCATCAAACATTTGTAGCCACAGTGTCCTCTGCTTTCGTGTAAATGCTTTAGCAGAAGTGTAACTAAAGGATGGTTGCGAGGCAGCACGATTGGGTTACGTAAGTCTTCTGGCAGTGTTCGGATGTTCTCGAGTCGTCCATGTGCACGTAGATTCCTTGGTTGTCCTTTTTCACCATCAATTTCTTGTCCAGTTTTTCTAATTCTAGATCAGTTTGGCACCACTTGAACAATAATTTCTTCTCGGGCTTGGACGCTCTTTTGTTTGGCTGTTTCTTTGACTTGAGCTCTTTTTTGATCGTTTCCGAACCATCTAGGATTGAGCAGTTAAACTCGTACTGTATGTTATTCCCCTTAAATTTTAAAAAATCGTTGCTTTCGACTCGGTTTTGAGCTTTTTCATCTGAGAAGCATGCTCCTGTTCACGTTCGTCGAAATTTCGTTTGAAGCTGGCTAGTTTTCTATCTATTATCTCTACGAAACGGTAAACCACCGCTCACGCTGAGATTGACCTCTTGCCGCGCGTTCGTCGGGGAGGGCAGGTGAAATAGTTTCAGGATCGCTTGCCAGTAAATCATTTCTTCAGACACGACGAAATTTGCTCTCAGAGTATCGGTATACTACGCGAGATACCGTCGAACGACTCAATTCTTCACACTTGTGTACTATATACTCTGCATGGGAAATTACCCCAGGGAACTCTCATACATTATTAACCTGCACGCTTATATTCAACACTCGATTGATTACATTCCGTAACCATGGACCGCCGAGCAGGTGGGTCTGGGGGCCTACAGAGACCGGCAGAGACAATCCTCTGGAGGAAGTCAGAGGTAGAAAGCGATTTTTCGAAGACAATGACTCCAAGTCACGGTTTTAAAAACTGAAACTTTGAACTGGAGACATCAAGGAAGATCGCTTAAGCTAACACTTAAAACAAGAATGCTGCACGATATATGTCCAAATTCTCTGTCTTCCCATGATTCATTTCGATCATGCATAGGAGTTTGTTGTACCGGGTCTTCCAAAGAGGGCTGTTTAAAAATCTGCAGTGAATTTGATAAAATAAAAACGTCGAAATGAGGATGTTCTATCAAAGAGGTTTGCAAACAACGTGGACTTTTTGCTAGGAGGACATATTTTGACGCTCCAAATTGAGATGAGGAAGAGTTTCCTACGTTCCTTCACACACAGATTTTGGCATTCATTTCAAAGCAGAGTACTGTTTTGTGTCTTTTTTTCCTCATTGCGAATTTCTTTCAACTGTAAGATCGACAATATCTACTAGCTAGTACGTTCGTACGAGCAATTTCAGGGCTATAGCTTACTATTATTTCGGCAGATTATAGACTTTAGACGCATAGGTCAAATTCGACCTAAATTTCAAGGGGCAGTCGGGAAAGAGTTAAACACAACCCGCGGTCTAACTTAGCGGTCATCAATAACTGCTCTTCTTTTTTCATTTTCAATCATTTTTCTCGTAATTTAAAGCACCTTTCTCAAGGATAAGGTAAATAAACACCTCTTAAAAATGAAAATCCTGTTCTTCTTTCAGGAGTTAAACAAGATAAAGTGGGCGATACTATTCAAAAAAATGTCGAAATCAACAAAAGTAAGTAAAAATACAACCGAGCCAACAAACCACTATGGTATATCTGACCAGTTTCACAAATTTCTCTCGATTAACACGAACAGCGCTAGCTCGTTCTAGAAAGTTAGTTGGAGCTCAAGAGTTAAATTATCGTTAGGGGCAGCGGAAAAATAGTTTGTCTTCATAGTGTTTTGCTGAAAAAATATACAGAAAAGTTATCTTTAATTTGTGATCCAATTCCAAGTATTGTTCCTCTGCGAATCAACGACGAAGATCGTGTTCCGTGTAAAGGCATATGTCTTTTAAAATTTAGAACTATTGCTGATTTTCTTTTTTCTTTCTGTCCGATTTTCTTTCTTTCTTTGCTCATTTTTTTTTAAGTTTGAAAATATTACTTCGTCTTTAAATTACTACTTAATGTGTATAAATACAGATGATCGAATGATCAGACAGATGATTGCAATACATTGCGTTAAGTTTATAATTTGTGACTAACTGTTATATTCTTAAGATTCCTGAGTAAAATCCCAAAATCATCGACAATATTACAGTTAGACTTATATTCACAGATGCCAAAGTTAAACTTTGTGAGGGAGACATAGTTTGTGATGAAGATGATTCTCAATTATCTAAACGTGGAGCCGCACTTAAAATCCACCTTTGGGAAACAAAAGTAATTCCCTACGAGTTATTTGGTAAGCGTTGAACCGGAAAAAAACCGATACATAATATATTGCTTGCTGGATTACTTGCTTGCTGGCTGGATTGATCGATTGGTTATGTGGATATAGTGCTAATAAGGGGGTTCGCGGATTTGTACTAAAAAGCTCTACAAGCTGAGATTTAATGTCATGAATATGAAAAACAAACGTTAATTTTGCAAAATCTCTTTATTTAGGAGAATGTCCGAGAGATGTGGCGTCACGTATTGAAGATGCCATGCATGAGATTGAGAATGGCACTTGTATTAAATTCGTAAAAAGGACTACAGAAACGTTCTGGATCTATTTTACTACAGCATCCAGTGGGTAAGCAGTAATAATAATAATAATAAATCGTTTATTTGCCACATTGCAGAATTAACTGAATTAAAGGACTAAGGATTACAAAATATATGAAAAAATGTATGAACAAGAGTATATCATTATGATCTATCTATCTATATATATACAAACTTAATATTGAAGAATAATTTTTCATAGTGCTCAACTTAAAGGAGCAATTTATACATAAAATACTGAGCT